AAGGAGAGAAATAGGAAGGATACATTGAGGACACACATAGAACTCAAATTTAACAACATGACCTCTAATGGAATTTTGCTACGATAAACGCTATTGCTATAGAGTAGTCCAGCATATGAACAGTGTACTGTGATCTACTAATGGGACTCAATGTCTCAACAAAATCTCGTAGTTAGTGAAAGGGATTTTACATCGTCTTACGCGTGTCCTCCCCCCCCCCCCCTCCCGCAACCCCCTTCTCCCTCACCTTTTCGAGAAATACCATGGTGGCAGGTACTGTTACACTCGCCTGGCTTTTTTAAATTCGCTCCGTAAGCAAAGCAACCAACTTCGCTATGCTTCCATTCGGTAAATATTTCTATAGTGTGATTTTGAATGATGGCCTTAGAGAAATTTCTAGCATCAAAAAAGTTTTTTGAGTGAGCCATTGCGTCATGCCATCAATTTCCACAGTTTAACAGTCCTATTGACGTTCCTTGCTCGTCATTAGGTTTTCTTCTAACTTGAAGATCTCACATCCGCATTGTGATGACAATTTAGACAATTTGATGTATCCTAATCCCCACATTTTCATTGCAATGCTCTCAAATCAGAAAATACCTGTTTTCCACGAGGATGAGACTATCCAAAACTATTATTTTATCAAATTCAAACGGATTTTATGTGCAAATGATGAAGCCAAACAGTTCCCTAAATTACGGGGAACTCAAAGTACCTCATGAAAACAGCTGCAGACTAGGACAACATCGATCAGGGAGTGTTTGCGCTCTCACGAGTCTTTTGTATGCTTCCGAAACCCAAAGAAGTGTTTCTCACGCAAAATGCCCTTCTGATGTGAAACTACGGGAAATTGCTGAAGCAAAACGCGGAGGGAACGCACACTGTACTACTTCTTATCTACTGCTGAAAAAGGAAGGAGAGCCGTGTTTTTCGCCTTTCCTACTGTGGCAATGGTGAAATGAAAGACCGTGGGAATTCATTAATTAAGTACGGTTAATGGTATGGGACTTCAAAATCGAAGCAAAAAATATTACTATTGCCTTCGAAATAAGTGCTGTAAAAACGAGCGTATTTACGACAGTACATAGGGTGTCCCCAAGTTAAGACACATTTTTCAATACTACCTCTACCACAAAGCCTTTTCTGACCTTTGGATACCATTCTGTAGAGCTGGTTTCAACTTAGAACTACGGTATGCATTGAATTACCGGTTGCTCAATTACTACAGGTTATAATTTTCTGTATTGTCCGATGTGCCTTGGCCGACATTTTGGAAAGTTTCCAAAAAAAAATCTGAGAGGTTGTATAGCAGGTTTTACAAACGCTAATTTCACTAATAAACTTATTGGAAGCTTGAGAAGTTTTTCAATGATGAAATCGCACTTTCGAGGTACATTTAAAAGGTGGGGGTTTAAGTAATTCGCTAAAGAAACATTAAGGTAAAGTGCGAAATCATAATTGGTGTCAATCTCTACCAGCGTATTGTGAGAGTTTTCGGGCTGTTCGGTTCCATATTTGAAACAAAGTATGGGTCAGTAGTGACCTGAATTACTCTTTGAAGTTCTTACCATAGTTCTTTAGTGATTAAGAGAGATCGGTAATTTGCTCTATACTGTAAATCTAAGTTGAAGCCAGCTCTACAGAATGGCCTAGAACTCGACAAAAGACTTCGTTGAAACAGGGGTATTAACGATCAGAAAGCGTATTTGCTCTTAGGACACACTCTATTCAGTTACTAACAACAAGTCTTATAGCAATTGATGTTTCAATCATTTCACTTATTTGTGAAAGAATCGAAATATAATGTTATAATCAGTAACATGACGTTGTGAAGAGTTCCGAAGTAATATTATTAGAATTTCGGCTTCAGAAGCCATTCAGCTTACAGGTTGAGACGATTTCTCTTATTGCAAAAGTATGTTTTCAGAATACTGTCACAACAACAGACCAAATCGTATCTGCGCGTCGAATTTTCCCATCAACTCGAAAAAATACGACGCTATTTTACGCAGATACAATTTAGTCTTAGTCTTCAATTGTTAGTCAGCTTTGATCCCATAAGACTCTTGAATAGGGCAAATTTTAAGCAACAATATTTTCCTTATTCTTACTATGAAATTTCCGAAGACCTTGGCTTCATGCATGGACTGCATCTGGTTAGTGGAAGTAATATTGTTTTTATTTGCTTAAGGAAATGTCGTGTGAATAAGCAAGACTCTTTTTCAAGGAACTAAGACTGCTTCGAAACCATTCGGTCCCGAATACGAACTTCTTCCAGAAAATGCAGGTGCAAATTTTTCCTTTGGTGGGAGAATCAGAAGAAAAAAGTTAGTTTTCCCATGGCTCTTAATCATTTTGCACCGCTGATTGATCATCTGTCGAACTTCTGCAAAGGCCATTTCAAGGACATTCCAATTATTTTGA